CAATGGCTTCCAAGGCCTCTCTCAGCCAGGGCATTCAATAACCCCAAGAGCCTCAAGGGGGACTCTGCTTGCTGTTATAGCCTTAGTATTTTCCTGTGCAGCTTGGGAAAGGGGTCACAAAGCGCCCTGAGCATGAGGGCAACCACACTCCTAAGGAAACATCCTGGTAGACATCTGAAACCTTCAAATCTGGGGATGATGAAGTCCCAGTGTCATCAGCTCCCACTCAGGACCAGCCCCTGTGGCACACAAACAGCCTTTAGCCGTCTACCTTTTCCTCGCTCGGGAAACTCCCACCCATCCTTCATAAGCCAGTGCACAAATCTTCCCCAAGGGAAGCCTTCCCCCTACAGACCCCTTGCGTGCCCACAGTGCACCCTGCTCTCCTCCAGATGCTCTCATACAGCTCCTTGCACTCTGCCTCCCTTGCACTTATCACAGTTTGAAATTGTACAGGAATGTGATCATTCATTGATCTCCACCTCACTCACTAGTTCAGAAGATCCGTGAGGGTGTGTCCATGTTTATTTTGTCCCCCATTGTATCTCCAGTGTCCACAACAGTGGAAGATATTCAATAAATATTTATTGAATTAATGGGTTAATTAATTAGTTCATGTCAACTAGCCAAGTCTCGATGAGACCAAAGCAGCAGTATTTTTGCTTGAAAGACGATCTGGGGTGAATTCTAAGATCCCCTTCTGATCGTCCAAATCACTCAGTGTGTGGCCGCAGGTCTATCAGTCCCAGACTCCTCTTCCTGTCCTCCAGTCTGTGTCTCAGCTCATTAGGGGGCTAACAAGGAGATGGCTGTGCACTGACACTGTCGTCCCTGAAGTCACTCTACCGGTCATCAGGCAGCCCAAGGGGACTGAAGAAACCAGCTCAAGGTAATCGAGGACATCAGCAAGAAGGCAGAGAAAAGGCCTGACATTTCAGGTTTCTATGGTCTAACTACTGAGCTGCACCTTCACAGTGGAAACCAAATAAGAAGAATGTTTCAGGAGTGAGTCTGAAAGATTAAGTAGAGAAAGCTGCGAATCCTCTTCCACTTAAGCACGTGCATCATCAGGCTTGAATCTCAAAAAGTGAGGCTCGAGAACTGCAGAGGGCTTTCTGATGAAACCTTCACCCTGCCGGCCCCACCTCCACGGCAGTCCTCCAGGGCTCCTAGGCCTTCTGCAGCTATTTGTTGACTTGTCAACCCTCTGCTTGCAAGCCCCTCTCTGTGAGCAGGGCCTCACTTCTGCACCAGCCTTCTGTGGACTGCAGCTGCCCTGGGTCATTCAGAATTCACAGAACAAGGCTTGCCATTTTACCCCGCCGGGTCATTGCAGATGCCGTGGATACTCTGCCAGGCAAACTCTTAAGTATCCTCCCTCCTCAGTTCTTAAACACCTTTTCCATAGCTCTCATCTGCATAGAACTTTTCCCAATGCCTTGTCAAGGACTACTTATTTAATACGTCAACTAATATTTTCATCATTGAAGAAGAGGATTTTGAAAATTTATCTTATCTTCCAAGTTTGTTTGATATAAAGGGTTAAAATCATATTAATTCAACAACAACAACAAAAAAGATCCAGGTTCCAATCTGAGCTCTGTCTCCTACTAACAGTATAGCTCCCGACAAGTCTTTCAAGCTTTCTGGGCTCGACTGCTCATTTGTAAAGTGGGGCTAACAACTAGCTAAAAGGCATGTTTAAAGAGGATTATAGATAATGTGTGTAAAACACCTTGCACATGAGCACATGCCGGGAGGCTGCAGGAGAGCTGCAGGAGCTCCTTCTACCATTGAAAGCCCAGAGGGGAAAAGAGTTGGATCAAGGTCACACCAAGAACCCAGGTCTGTGCTCTCTGCACTGTGCCCTTATCATCTAGCCTGATCATCAAAACTCAGTTATGGAAATATGGACAGTGGCTTAGCAATGATTTAATTAATTTTTACCATTGTTAATAGTGTGTACAAAGAATATAAGAGATTTCCCCCTGGAAGAACTTTTTATACCCTTGCTCTAACCTAACACATGACTGGCATTCTACAATGCTCACCTGCATGATAATCACGTCTCCACATTCACCCTGAAAATCCACAGCAGGTCCAAGCACACCTTGGCCCTCAGTCTGTAAAGGGACATTAATGCTCACCAAAGATAATACAAGAAGTAAGAAAATATCTGTAGCTGTGACCAATTCCTCTGCCAGTCACTCCCCTTGCCCTGTTACTTAGCCACGTCTCCTTTGGCAGTCTCTCAAGGATCCAAGCCAGCTGATGTGGGTGCATTCTCTTCTCCCAGGGCCTCTTCAAGTTCTGCTAGGGAGTGCTACTGAGCCACAAAATAATCAGAACAATCAGAAAGCACCAAAAATGGAACCCAACCTCCCTAATCTGTGTTCATAAGTCAAAACCTCCATGACGTGTCAGGGGCTTAGGACTGGGAAAGCCACAGGGTAGGGATCGTTGCAGGCTTATCCACCAACGCACATCTGTGCCAGCCCAGGCAAGCTTTATGGAATGAATGGACAAGTAAATGACAAATGCATGAATGACTAACTGAACAAAGAGAGGGTTCATGAGCGTGCAGCACAACCTTATGCCCTTCCAAACCCTCCCAGCACCCCCTCAGGCCCAGATCACTTGTCCTCTCCTTACCCTAGCGATCAGCTCCCCGACCATTCCCGTCCAGGTGCCGTTGGCCTCGGGAACGCCATACACGCCATCCCCAACCAGGCGGATCTTGTAGTTGAATCGGAGGATCTCTGCCAGCTCCTTGAGCATGTCCACACAGAAGCCCTCGTAGCGGTCATTGCCTTCCATCTCCTGGTGGTTCCCCTTCAGCATTAAATATGGGTTTTCCTGCAGCAAAACTGGGCAGCTGTCATTCTCATCTTAGCCCTGGTGTCTCAGCCACATGTGATGGGGAGGCCAAGGAGCACAGAGGGTCAGGGAGGAGATGGGGCAGAAGGAGGAAAGTGGCATGGGTAACGGGCTACTTTGGGGTGATGACTAGCTCCTCTCCTGAAATGCTCCTTAAAGTTGTTCTTCAAGGTGATCCTATTGTCAGGAACACACAGTGGCCCCCACTGCACAGAGGGTCAGGCTCAAGCTGCTCCACCTTGTTTAAGGTCATCATCTGACCCCACCCTCTATATCTTTCTTTTTTTTTCCTGCCTCTGCTTTATTCCAGGCAGACCTCTGGCAGAGCATTATCAGAGATACAAGGATGTCTTCAATACAGCAGCTAGGTAAGAATAAAAGTACAAGAGCAATTGCAGTCCAAGGAGGGCATTGGGAAGAGGGCAGGTCTCTCCAGTGAGATGTCCAGAGAAGGTTCCAAGCTGAAGGTGGGATCCAAGCTGGGCCCAGGAGGAGGCAGAACACTGAGAGACAGAAGGGCTATGAATGAAAGGCATGGGCTGGGGGAAGGCACAATCAAACTATCCTGAGTGGCTGCTCAGTGGACGATGGACCTTCCAGGGTAGCCAGAGCACAGGTTGTGAGCAGGGGCGAGGTGGGAGGAGAAACAGAGATGAATGGACTAGGGTCAGGGTGGTCCTCAGACGCCAGGATGTGGTGGCTGCACATTACACAAGATACAGTGGGGAAGCATCAAGCGTTTTAAAGACGCAAGGCTGTGAGCAAGGAATATTAAGTAGCAGGAGAGGAAGCATCCAGGGGTGGGGACAGACCGGCAGACCCTCTCCTGAGATAAGACCCTGAATCCTGTGCTGCAGGTTGAATTGCAGAAAGCCAGAAGGATGCAAGAGACACAGAAAGGAGCAGGCCTGATGACTGGCTGGGTGTGGGTCCTCAGAGCCTTGGAGCCCGGTGGATGGACTGACAGAGGGTGGTCTCATGACTGGCTCCAATGCCTGGAGGGGAGGGGGATTTGGAATAGGTTGAATTTGAGGTGCTGGCAGGCTATGAGGGAGGAAATAATCAACTGGCTATTTAAAATGTGGAGTGAGGGTAAGACAAGGGCCAGAGATTGGAGATGTCGTACAGAGATAAAGGCTGAAGCTGTGGAGTATGTCAGACAGTGAGGGGAAGGGTTGAGAAAGGGCAGAAGAGGAAGAAAAGGCCCTCAGGAGAACCTGGTCTTAGAGTGGGGGAATGAAGGACATCAACAGAAGACAACAGAGAAGCAGCCAGGAAGGCTGAAAATCAGAGAAACATGGTCTTAGTGTCAAGGAGGAGAGAATCTGAAGACAGAGGATGTAGCCATTCCCACCATTCCCGCAGACTGAGCAGGGCTGGGAACCAGCGTGTGGGTCATGTGTCACTGCCGACCTTGCGAAGGTAGGCGCAGTGGGGGCAGCAGGACTCCATAAGGATGAGGAGTGAGCAAGTGCTGCAGGGGTGAGGGCGGTCCAGCATTTTGATAGGTTAGGAGCTAAGGGAGGCAAGGCGGCAGGCACAGCAGAGGGCAGATAGCCTCTCCTCCATGCTCGTTCCCCGCTGCAAACAGCAGGGTTGGAGGGTCCCGGGGGGGGTCCACCCAACTCTGTGATTCTGGGACTCCCTATGTTGGAGGGCAGCTTGAAGAGCAGCAGGATGTAGGAAGGGTGAAGGCGATGGTGTTTTAGGATGGGACAGTCCAGGGCGTATTTGTAGGCAGGAAGGGAAAATCCCTGGAAACAGGGAGAAAAGAGGAGGAAAGAGCCATGCTAGCTGGTGGAGAAAGGGTCCAGGAAGTTCAGGGTGGGGGCAGGGGTGAGGCTGAGGCCTAAGCCTGGAGTGAGGTGGAGGGTGTGGGTGGGGACACAGAGAGGAGGGAGCTCGTGCTGTCCCCAGAGCCATGCTCAAAGTGGGGCAGATAGGCTTGGAGGCTTGGTGTGTGGGAAGATTTTCAGCAGTACCGCTCAGGGGATGTACAGGGAGTGGGGAGACCTGGGTTCAGGGATTTCCAGGGCCCAGATGCAGAGGTGAGGCTGGATGCAGACAGGCAGCTGGGGGTAGGGGTGGCAGGGACAATCAGGCTTGGGGACGGACAGGTATGCGTGGAGCAGCCTGTACATCACGATTCTAGGAGCTAGGAGAGGGAAGCGTTGAAATGCTGATGGCTCAGCTCACTCTGGGAGGGCCAGACAGACCCAAGGTCATGGAGGGACCCTGCAGGGGAGCAGACTGTGGGTGTGATGCAGTGGGACATGGGAAGGCAAAGGTCATATGTCAAGGAGCAGGAAGCTCTGAGTGGACGGTGACTTGATTCTGATTCAGGATGAGAGCACTGTCACATCAATGAGATAGGGCCAATTGGCCTGCTTTCCATACATGCTGTCCTCAGCACAAGAGCTTCTCCCCGCACAGACTGTCCACAGACTCCCCCAACTTCCGCTTCACCTAGCTCGTCTTTGACCATAGAATCACATTGCCTCCTCCTGTGCCAACCCACCCAACTCCCCTGGTCTCAGGCCAGGGCCCACACAATTGCCCTCCAATGTACTCTGATTTGCACCTGCTCCAGGTGGAATGAGAGTGGGGCCTGGGATTGACTCGTCACCTGTGTAGTACCCCTACCTGGCTCAGCACTAAGCATGTGCCCATTATGTGAGTAAGAAGCAAACAAATGGCTTCACAAACAGGGCATGGCTGGGGGTTTCCATCTCAGGACTGGCAATGTCCCAGTGTATCTTTAATCATCCCAAGGGGCTGTCACAAACGCTCCTCCCCAAACACTCACTACTCTCAAGTTAATTAAAAACTCACTGACATATTTCAAGTAAACAGACACAAGGCCAGCCTTGGAGATGCATTGGAAAGCCCAAGGGTGGGGGCGGCTGGGACTCACTGGCACCCTGGCGAATGTGGGGGACTGAGGGCTGGCCTGGAGCAGGGGTGCTGAGAACGTGGCAACGTGCTGAACACAGGATCTCATACAGAAAAGGTGTTCAGGGAATGGGAACGGCAGCCAATTCTGTGTGTTTGCTGGTATTAATCAGTAAATCATCCACGCACCCCAAGTATGCCCTGACCAGAGTGGGAGACAGCGTGGATATGTGCTGAGTTTTAAGGGATAAATCATTCGGGATCATCATTTGCCAGGGAAAACCCACAAATGGTCACCCAGGGACTGAATTAAGATCCTCATTCCTGGAAAGAGCTATTGACTCAGATCAGCCATTGTAGGCACACACACACACAAGAAAAGAACCAAGGCTAATAGTGGTTTGAGTTGTACTTACCTTGTTGTTAAATGTCACCTCACACCAGTGTCCTGGCTGTACCCGACCCCTCATGAGCATGTGCACGTATGTGAACAAGCACATGTGCACACATGCACAAATCAGGGTCACTTTCCCAGACTAGCAATAGGACCCTGTGGACTCGGTGTAGCTGTGGATCTGTGCCAGAGCTCCAAGCACAGGATAATACCAGGCTCGGAGAGGCAGGAGGTACAGCTACTTCCCCATCTCCCTCCCAAAGTCTTGTTGGCTTTTAAGGGACACGCCTACCCTGGAGGAAGGAATTCCTTCACTCAGATTCTAATTACCAAGCTCCTATTTTGTGCCAGCCCTCTACCTTTGAGGAGCTCTCATCCTAGAAGGGAGGTAGGCCTTTAAACAACAACCTCTAATAAGACATGGGAGGGGGCAGGGCAAAATGCTGGAGGCAGGGAGAAAACAGGCGTTAGAGCAGGGAGGGCTTCGTGGAAGACGTGATGTCTCGAGCAGAGCATTGAAGGATACATGGGCATCTCCAGCTGGAAACAGAAATTACAGGGAAGGGTAACCCAGGCATAAGGAATAGCATGTGCCAAGGCAGAGAGGGGCAGGATGCAGGGAGGGGCACGTTGCAGGGAGCAGGTGTTGAGCCATCCAGCGGCACTAGACCCCACGCTGCATGGGGAAGAGAAGGTGAGGCGGGCTGGGTCTGATTACAAAGGGTTATACCCCAAGCTAAGAGGCAGCAGGGCCTGGGTAGTGGCTGAAGGATTGTAAGGAAGGAAACTCCAGGTCAATGCTCACTTTTAAATGGCCAGACAGACAGGAGGGTCAGGGAACAGGCAGAGTGAGTAAGAAGGGAGCTTGCCAGCAGGCCATGGAGCGGCTCCAGGGAAGGAGGCAGAGAAGCCCCAATCCTGGATTAGGGCAAGGCCTTTGAGGATGGATAGAAGAGGGCAGATCCAGGAGTTTTTTTAGAGGCTAAGCAGACAGTGGGAAGGAGGCCCCAGCAATCACACTGCGTGCTGCACCCTCTCCCCCAAAGTGGACTCAGCCAGGCTGTTCCCAGCTCTCTGCTGGACAGTGAAACCGAAACTGCCTCATCTTTCTGGCATTTTCACATTGGTTTGGATAAGCTAAGGCTGAGATGGGAGTGGCTGAAACCCTGGGTGCTGGAACTGCTCTCTCAGTCCTTGCTTGGACAACTCCCTCTGTCAACAATACCCCTCCCCAGGCAACCACTTGGCTGTGTCTCCGCTCAATGCTCCCCTTCTCGGAGAGGCCGCCCTGACCACTGGGGATCAACGCCACCGGTCTTCTCAGCACCCCAGGCCCTTCCCAGCTCTGGCTCTTTTTCCTCAGCCTTGCCACCTTCTAATTCATTGTTTGATTACGTTGCTTCTTACTGTCTATCATACATTCCTTGCTGGAATGTAAGCTCCTTACAGGCAGGGTTTCTTGTCTTTTTGGTTCATGGACACACCCTTAGCACTGACAACCGTGCCCAGTATATAGCAGCACCCAATAAACAGTTGTTGCATGAACGAATGAGTGAATGAATGAATGAATAAATGAAAATGTTCAGTGACCCCGTCTCCTAACAATGAAGGGAAACTTGGTATCTTGGCATTCAAGTTCCTAAGCACTATGGACCAAACCAATTTTCTGGCTTATGCCTCTTCCCTTTCTTACCAGTGCCTATTTCTCAGGAAAACCTGTACCTTTCAGCTTTTCCTGAACACCTGACAGTGCCCTCCTTCATTCACCTCCTCCTCCTCACTCACTCCCTGTCTTTCAGAGCCCATCATCAATTTCTCTTCCTCCCTGAAGGCTTTGCTGACCTCCCCATGGGAGGGGACCTCTCTCTCCTTCAAACCCCACAGCCCCACATGTGCGCCTCTTTGCTGGCTTTTATCTCCCTGTGTTTACAGTAGATCAATCATTTTAGCCCAGGGTGCCTGGGCTCCAGGAGTTCATAGATAGTGATGGAGGTCCCTGAACTCTTTTTATTATCTCCAAAAGCCTAAAAGAAATGGACACATTTGCAGACCTTGCACAGTTAGCAATGATAAGCCTGAGGAGGCTAACTCAGGCATCACCTCTTTGCGTTGGGCTGCAATGATATCAGAGTGGCACTACTGGCCATCTCCTGCTGATAAGATGCTGGGCCAGGCAGGGAAAAATGCTTTAGATTAGTTAAAAGTGGGAGGGGGAAGAACAAACTAACGACTGCTTAATACATGCAGTTGGTTTAACTGACAAATCTTTTAAGCATGAAGTCTTCAGAGGGGAAGACAAATAATACCTTGGCCATGTATGCACTTGACTTATCGCATCTACTAACTTACAACCTCAGGACAGAGACTAGAACTGAGTCCTACTCATCTTTGGTCTCCAGGACTGCGAACAGAGCCTGGCTGGCACGTGGGGGGGGGGGGGGGCAGGGAAGAGAGGGTGAACATGGCAATTACTAAATAGAACAGAATCAAATAAAAAGGGCAGATGGTCTCTTGCCCCATAGATTTTTTTTTTCAGACAGAGTCTCACTCTGCCATCCAGGCTGAAGTACAGTGGCGCGAACTTGGCTCACTGCAACCTCCACCTCCTGGGTTCAAGCGATTCTCGTGCCTCAGCCTCCCGAGTTGCTGGGATTTCAGGTGTGTGCCACTCTGCCTGACTAGCTTTGATATTTTTTAGTGGAGACAGAGTTTTGCTATGTTGGCCAGCTTGGTCTCAAACTCCTGGCCTGAAGTGATCCTCCACCTTGGCCTCCCAAAATGCTGGGACTACAGGTGTGAGCCACTGCACCTGGCCTCTTGTCCCATAGATTGATAACTCTCTTTTTACCACCTGGAAATGAAGAAACAGGCCGTGTAAACCCACAGACGTTCCCATGTCCACTTAAGGATGTGGTGGGGAAAGGCTCTGTTTTGTACACAGCAAGCACCCAGCAAGGTGGGGTTCTGGAAAGTAGGGGTTGCAAGGGTCTGGATCTAGCTCCCCGCTCTGTGTCACAGGTGTCCTTCCCATGGGTCCCCTTCCCTTGGCCCCGAACAGCTGCCCCAGCTGTCAGGGAGCCCCAAAGGGGCATCCACAAACTATGGTTTCTTTCCTCCCCGACCCTCCCCCCAGCTGCTCTGGAACTCATCAAATATCATTTCCATATGAAACAGCAACTTGAGTGTAATTTCACTGTCATAAATTGGGCTCAGTGCTGTGATTACAGCTCCCATCTTCTGCTCAAGGGGCAGCCTGCGAGCACTCAGACCTGGGGAGGGACCCCAGGTAGCTGCAGCTGGGATCCTGGGAGAGCCCACTTACCAGGATGGTGGTGACAACCAGGGTGGTGTTGAAGAGCGTGTCCGAGATGTTGGAGGCGTAGAGGCGGCTGTCCATGCTGAGGCCCTCCGCCACGTGCCACTGGCCGATCTGAGGAGACCAATGGAGAGGACTGGGAAGAAATGGAGGTCCTGTGGCCTCCAGGGCTGGAAGGAGCCAAGAGGCTGGCCCCTGCCTTCAGCTGGGCTGCATGTGAGCAGGGAGGGCTGTGGAGTATGGAGCAGGGGGCTGGACTGCAGCAGGGAGACTGTTACCCAGGACTGGGGGGCTGAGGGAAGCGGGGCTGTGAGAGTCAAAGAAGAAAGGAATAAAGATGTCGGGGAGATGTGGGCAAGGAAAATGGAAAAATAAATCAGGAATGAATGCAGTTTGGTGAAGCCCTCTCACATAGAAAGCAATGGAACATGTGGAATCATATGATTTTGAGGCAGGGATGGGCTGCAGAGCTCTTTTGATCTGGCCTGCCTTCAATCATTCTATCGAAATAAGAATCAGAAGCCTATACTGGAGAGAACTATGCCCTTTGTTTGCTGGATGGTTGAATGAATGAATGAATGTACCTAAATAGGGAAGACCCAGGTTCTAGTCCAGATTGACTCATTTGCCAACTTTGGCAAGTTATTCACATCTTTCAGAACCTCAGTTTCCTCATCTATAAATGGGCATGATAATGTTTGTCCTGCCTTCTCGGAGCTTCTCATGACCTCAGAGATCATGTATGAGCCAGTGGGCGTTACACTATTTACCCAGACCCAGAAGCACAGATCTCAACAGTGAAACCCTAGGAAAGTTACTGAACTTCTCTGATCTTGTTTCCTCATCTACAAAATGGGGATAATAATAGAAACTTCATTGGGTCATTGTAAGAATGTATTTAACCTGGCATTCAATAAAAGCTGTTTTCCTTCCATGTTGTCTTTTTCTCTCTGTTGTGTTTTGTTTCCTTTATTTTATTTTTATTTTATTGTGATAAGAACACTTAATATGAGATATACTCTTTCACCAAGTTTGTAAATGTAAAATACATTACTGTTGACTGTCCCATTGTTTCAAAGATCTCCAGTGGGAAAAAATCCACAAGGTACTGAGTTCTTCATTCTAGAAAGTTACCTAAACCTAAACTCAACAGTGATGGGTTTTAGATTGCTTGTTTTTCCCAATGGATCTTTCTTTCTTTTTCTTTTTATTTTTAAATAAAAGATGGGGTCTTATCATGTTGCCCAGGCTTGTCTTGACCTCCTGGCCCCAAGCAATTCTCGCACCTTGACCTCCCAAAGTACTGGAACTACAGGCGTGAGCCACTGCACCTGGCCAGAACTCTTTTTATACATATAAAAATACGCACACACATATCTATATACATAAAATCCCAATACATCTCTACTAGCTAGAGCCGCTGGCAAATCATAGCTGTTACTGTTTTTAGGTGGGCAGCCAGGAGAGATGGCTGGCTAAAAACCCAATGAAACGCACACATCCTTCTCTGTCAGGCTTCTGCAGATATCAGCAGTAGCTTCCCTGGAAGACCCACACAAGTTCCACAGATGCCATGCAGTTCTATTCCCCAGAGCTGGGCTCCCCGTTCCTACAGAATTTCCAGGGACAATAAAGACATGTCATACACTTTCCCGCTGCCCTCACCCTATGGGCCCAGAGGACTGAGAGTTAGAGGGAGTGGCTCCCTGCCTTCACAGTCTGCAGAAGGTGGAGCCAGGCCTCCCCTGGACCATCAGCTGGGCGCTCTCATGGGCCTCTAGTTCCAGGCAGGAGCCTTACAGTCTCCACAGTTGGGCCTTTCATGTGGAAAAGGTGAGATGACCAAATGCTCCCATCCACATCCTGCAAGAATGCCACCTGGAAAAGGGTGGGCAGCTTCCCCCATCTCTGCAAGGGAAGCATGGTTCTGTGCATGTTCACGGTCCTTTTCAGTTTACAAGCAAGGTCTCCTGCATATCCATTCAATAAGCCCCATTATACAGAAAAAGAAACCAAGGCCAAAATAAAAGAGACCACCCAACTTGCCTGAGGTCAGAGAGCCTGTCAGCTGAGAGGCCTGAGCTTTAAGTCCTGCACACTTAAGCGCAGATGAATCTTCCCGAGGAAGCCTGCCAGGTCATCCTGTGTGACTCCTCCACCGTTCAACTGCACATGCATGTTTAGCTGTGTGTCTTCCCCACAAGCAGCCTGTGTGGCTCAGGACATCAGGTGCTGGCCTTACCTATGCTTGTACTCTTAGTCTGGGACGCCTTGGAAGTGGGGGAAACCATCATCTATCAGCAGATTGCTGTTGGTGGTGAAGCATGGGCAGAAGGCACTTTCTTTCTCTGAGCCCTCCTCTGGCCTTTGGAGTGCCTATCATCTCTCAAATGAACCAGCCAGGCCATGTTATAGCCCGGGTTTCCCTTTCCTCCTCCTCTCTGCAGGGGTGAGGGATGAGCTGCTAGGTTTCCAAATGAAGGGGGAAGAGGCAATAGTTACTGGATGCCTGATGTGTTAGACATATCAAGCCTATCATCTCTGAATCCTCCCATCACCACTTTCAAGTAGTTGCACGTGTTTCTGTTTTAGTTCTGAAGAAACTGAAGCTCAGAGAGGTTTAATGGCTTGCCTAACGTCCCCCGGCTGGCAGGTATAGCATGGGCTTGAACCTAGATCTGTCTAACTCTTAATTCTGTAATGTTTCCTGTTTCTGCTGCTGTCTCTTCGAGTGGGGATACAAATGTGCCCTTCATTTAAGCAGGCCAGGCCAACCGGGGAATGGCTTCAAGGGCCTCCACCATCCACTAGGAAGTCCAGACACATAGCTTTCTTCTCTTTGATCTTCACACTCCACAAAGACAGGTGAAATTATTGTCCTTGAAGCGGCTCAGTTTCCCTGTTTGAAAAATGGATAGAATTGGTCCCCAGTGGTCTCCTAGGCTGAGAGGCTATATTTTAGGCAGAAAGAACATAAAGCACAATTGGGCTAGATGTCAGCACTGGAATGTCTGGAACAGGACTGAACTCCTGAGAGTCCTTTCTGTCACCCTAAACCTCATACCGACAGAGCCAGTGAGACCTTGGCTCCCTGCCACCCACTGTCCCACCGCCCCTGTTCTGTAGGGATCTAATCCTCACCAACCACTTGCTCAAAGAAGCCCCATCCCCAGACTCCTTGGTCTTACCCAAGCCACGAGATAGGTAAAAGCCAGGGGTAGAAACGATTTACCCAGAGCCAGATCCAACAGCCTGAGTAACGCGCCCTCCCGCCTCCCTCCTCTGGGGACATGGCAAAGAGACTAATTAGCCCCCAAGCTTCAGTCAGGAAATGAATCCCCCACCCACCCTCCCATTACCCCCCAAGAAATTAATAAACTCATCAGATCCAACAAAGCGGCTTGGCAGCTATTACCCAGTGCAATCTAATTGCAGAAAGGCAGTGGGAGGGAAAGGGAGATTCAGAGCCAGGCACCCTGGGATACAGGCTAATTGCCCCACCCACTGGGCACCCTCAAAGCCATACAAGTGCCAGGAGTGGGCAGGAGCTATAGCTCTTTCATCACTGACAATCTGTGGCTCTGCCTCCAGCCAAATCCCTTTGCTCCACCCTGTGACACCTGCCCCCCAAATCTCCTGTAGGAACAGCTGTTTTGTAAGCCGCTTCCACATGCCCACACGTGCAGGCTTGATTTTGCTTCAAATACCGTCTCTCCTTGGCTCCCTCTGTACTGCGTCTCTTGCACTTGCTCTGCCTTTCCACTGCTTAGAGGCCCCAGGGCTTGCAGTGAAGGAGGAGAAGGTATGGATTTGGACAGGGCCACTGCTAGCCTACATACAGCAACTTAATGCAGGGAAGAAAAAAGCACCCCTCTGGGCTGATGTGGCCCTGCCAGTGTGCCCTGGGAATGCAGAGTTTGAGCTGGACTTCATCCTTGGGCAGTGCACAACCAGAGACACCAATGCAAAGTTAGACGGGAGTTTGACCTGGCTTCTTTCCTGATGAGCTGTGTGACCCTGGGTAGGTTACTGAATCCGTTTGTGCCTCAGTTTCCCCATCTATAAAATGGGAATTAAAATAGTAATTATTACATCATAGGGTTCTTAAGATTAAGCGAGATGGTATATGTACAAAGTACTGTGTCAACACCTAAGCTTTTAATACCATTGCCCAAGACAGAAGGTGGGATCTCCTGTGTGCTCTATGAAAAGCTTCACACTGTGGGCTTTAGTTGATTAGGCAGATTGGGCCGGTGTCTCAAAGTATAGTTCCCAGACCAACAGTACCAGCATTAGAAATGCAAATTCTCTTCTTCTCTGAGACAGACATTTAAAAAACAAAATGAAAAATGAAAAGAAATGCAAATTCTTGGGCCCCACCCCCAACTGACTAAATCAGAAGTTTTAGGAGTCGGGCAGGCTGAGTCAGACCAGAGCAGAAAGACCAACTCAGAGGACAAATAGGATGACCGAGAAAGGCTAGGGTGTGGGATTAACAGTGCTTCAACGCCTACCAGTGGTCAGTAAGGAAATGTTTACAAACTGGCTCTCCCAGAAAAAAAAAAAAAAAAAGGCAAAAAGGCCCTGATGTGTAGCATTTGCCAATTTCTGTGGTGTAAACACTCCCGCTATGGCTGGTTCCAAGCTGCCAACATCCTGTCACCAAGCACAGAGCTGGGAATGGATATGTACAATGGATTCTTGCAGGCTGGGGCAAGCCAGCTCTAGCACATGACTGGGGCCCACCATACTCACACGGGCTCTGTGCTGGGCACTAGAAGGTCATGCATACTAATCCCATTGCCACCCCACTGTATTCATAAGGAAAGCAGGGTCCAGATAAGTTAATAGTTTGCCTAAGTTGCAGAGCCGGTGAGTAGAAAAACTAGTATTCAAAACAAGGCCAATGGCTGCTTAATTGGTTCCACAATATTTAAAACAAATGTGTAGTCCTTCTATCTACAGATTCTTAATGCCATTACAAGAAACACTTTATGATAGGAGTGCTTAGTCAAATATTAAAATTTAGGTAAATATAACCAATATGGGATGTGTTTGCACGTACACAGAATGTATCATTTACCTAACATCCCCAAGGGACACAGATGGATATA